AAATTGTTACTGAAATTCACAAATAATTACCAGTTATTACCATACAAGGCATTTTTTTGCATTAAACGTGCAAACGTTGAGAGACCACAAGAAGCCTGCAGGATTATTTAAATTATGACATATATATTAGATTTACAGGTACCTATTCATTATGATTTGATGATTTAATAGGTGCAACTATTATATATTTATAATAGTAATCATCCGACCAAATTCAGAAGACCTAACATTAAAAACTATACGCACTTAATGCGTATACAATTTATTTAAGTACATAATACCCCGTCATTGGGAATAAAACATGAATAGTGGGATTTCTTGAAACATAATGTATGATTAACGTTGAATTTACTTGCTGGGAAACCGCATAGCGAATAATTATAATATTTTAGAAATTCGATAATATTTATGTAATCATGCATGAACACAAATACGCAATGCTTATTTCGTGCATCAATATTTATGTAGCGCGAACATGTAAAATTTTTAATGTAATTTGAAACAATTGAATAGAGTATAAACTATAAAGTACATATACACTGACATGCAAAGCAAACAAAGAAATTTCACGCAATTGGGATATTTGACTGTAGCCAAAATCAGTGATTTAGGACCAATTCTATAAACAGAATAAACAGCATTACTAATATTATACTATAGTCATACGTACGTAAACATTTGTTGTTTTCATTCATGACAATTTATATTTTTTATTCATCCATTATAATTCAACCATTATGTACCTATAAACGAAACACATATAAAATGAGTAAGAAACAATCTCAACTACACTATTTTTTTTTAAATTCGTATTTCTGTATTTCACAAATAATTTAAAATAGGTTGTTACAATAAATATGCAAAATATTTTCTATTTTTCTTAAATTAGTCAACGATAAAAAAAATAAATACGAACATTCGAATAATTGTATTATTACCTACCTTTATATGCATATTTATATTAGTACCATATATTACACTATTTAATATTTTGTACCCACGTGAAAATAATAATAATTTTCAATATAATATTTTACAAAAAGATAACAAGGACTAAAATAAAATAATTTATGATGCCGGCCCAAAAGCTTATAGCTTGTGGTGGGTGCAGCAAGTTCAATACAACACAAAAATATTACATAGGTAGTAATATAATGATAAGAATACAACTAAAAGTTTTTTTTTTTTTTATAAAATAACAAAGTTAATATTTAGATGTTTTAAAAAAAATGTATAATGATATTTATTTATTTTTATATGTTTTTAAATCAATGTTAAGCTTAATACATAAACATTAAAAACTATTTTTCTACCAAATTCTTTATTGGTTACTGGGATATTCAGATTTACTGTTTGTTTCATGCGTGTTTGATAGCTATATGTGACGGGTAATATTCTTTAAGATCTATGTTAAAAATATAATAAAGGATATTCCATATATGCAAGCCATTTAGGTTTCTTACATTGAATGTCCTGTAAAGGTCATCTACATAAAAATCATACGGTTTTAATAGTATAAATCTCAACAGTGAGTTTAATGTAAAAATAAGTGGATTTAAAGCAAACTTAGATGAGCTTCCCCAAACAACTATGTCATAGTTAAAAATGGATTGTACTAGTGCTAAATAGACTGTACGCAAGGTCTTGGTGTTCAGGATATCTTTTAACAATTTGAATTTATAAAAAAGCTTTCGAATCATACTAACCTGCACATGATTTATATGTGAAGTCTACCTCAAGTTTCTATCAAAAATCACCCAAATACATAAATACATTTGATATAAGTATATACAAGCCACAAGGTGTATATATAAAAAGTCGCTCTACTGTACAGTAGGTTAGAAGTGGGTCACTGTAATGGATGAATTTGAATTCAATAAATATTATTGTATAAGAAAAACGATTTTGAGCGAAAACGGTCAGTTAGCCTATAATATTACGAAGTATACATTATGATGATATTAAGGTGAATAAAGTAATTTATATATAACCTATTTACGTGGAATCTTGTTTTAAATTTTCAATCCTTAGCTATAAATGTTGAACATTTTATAAATTTTTAACTACAAAATTATTATTAAATTTTAAATGTGATAAATGTTGTCGAAATTTGAACTTTAAATGCTTATAAAAAAAAATTGTGCCTATGTATTTTTAATATTTTTCAACTGATATTGTAACAATATATATCAGAAGCCTTGTATTAAATTTTTACACTTTTTGGCCCAACAGATAAAAAGATAAAACTTTATTGATATTTATAGAAAAAAAAAAGGTGGGCAAGTGGGTGTCGCTCTGCTGTACAGTAGGTTACAAGTAGGTCACTGTATAATGGATAGTATTAAATTTGAATTCAATGATATAATATCATTGTATAAGAAAACGATTCTGAGCGGTGACGGTATGTCCTTCTAGGTATAAGACATATTATATACATATCTATGGTATTAAAAAAAATTGACCTATAATGAATTCCAAATTAATCATATCACAATATCCATTAGGTACTTATAACGCGTTATACACCAACAACAAACCCTGATACTATCATAGATATATATAGTAGATTACTTTAGAAATTTCAAGTACCCACGAATAAAATTATACAATCACAACAAAATAACTAAAATCGTAATTCTTGGTTTAAATATGAAATTTTGTGTAAATTTGAAATTAAAATGTCTGTAAAAAATAAGTGTGTTTATATATTTTTTAGATTTTTTGGTTACAGTATGAATTATTTAAGAGAATTTTTGTTTTAAATTTTCAACTCTTAGTTATAAAAACTGAACATTTTATAATTTTTTAATTCCAACGATTGATAATTTTTGAGATTTTGAAAAATTTTGTCAAAATTCCAACTTTAAATGCTTATAAAAAAAAAATCGTGCCTATGTATTTTTAAAATTTTTCAACTGATATTGTAACAATATATAAGAAAGCTTGTATTAAATTTTCAGGCTTTTTGGCCCACCAAATAAAATTTTATTGACAATTATAAAAAAAAAACTAAAAAAATTGAAAACTGAAAATGTCCGTAAACAGCTCAAAAAGAGTCAAAATATTTTCAAAATTGTATGGTGTATAGGAAATGCTAATATAAACATTCAGTGAAATTTTCATGTATCTACAGTTATTCGTTTTTGAATTACAACAAAATAAGGAAATCGCTACATGAGAAATCGAGTGAAAATCCAATGTTGTAAAAATTTGAATTTCAAACGCTCATAAAAATTTAATTTGACTGTCCGGTAGAGATTTTTTTATTGATAAAGGTAGATAATCTTATAAGGAATCTTGTGTTTCATTTTCAAATCTTAGATTTAAAAAGAAAAATTTTTACGAATTCTTAACTCAAAATAATTTGCTAATTTTCGTGATTTTTCCATATTTTGTCAATTTTTGAACTTTAAATGCTTATAAAAAAAAATTGTGACTAAGGATTTTTAATATTTTTCATCTGCCTTTGAAACAACATATTAGGAGCCTTCTATTAAATTTTCAAGCCTTCGCAACCAACAAATAAAATGTTATTGATATTTTTAGAAAAAAAACTAAAAAAAAATGGAAAATGAAAATGTCCCTAAACAGTTCAAAATAAATCAAAATATTTTGAAAATGTTATCGTGTATAGAAAATGCAAATATTAACAACCAGTGAAAATTTCATGTATATACGTTCATTTGTTTTAGAGTTACACCAATAATCAAAATCGATTTTTTGGAAAACCAATTTTGCGTAAAAATTCCCGTTTTTCCTTAATTTTTATGTTGTTTTTCCCGGCGCTTGTGAAAACTACTGGGAAATTTATACTTTTGACCCCCCAAAGTACCAAATAGATTCACTTTCCTACCAGAAAAGCTACTGATGAAGAAAATCCAAGCACTTTTACTGTCCTAAAACGTGATGACAGACACAAAAATATAAATAAAAATATAAAAAAAAACATACATCATTGTAAAACCAATACATTCATCGCTCCGCTCAGAATCTAAAACTAAAAAAAATGAAAACTTAAAATGTCCGTAAACAGCCCAAAAAGAGTCAAAATATTTTCAAAATTGTATGGTTATAGGAAATGCTAATATAAACATTCAGTGAAATTTTCAAGTATCTACAGTCATTCGTTTTTTAATTACAACAAAATAAGAAAATCGTTACATGAGAAATTTTTAATTATGTAAAGTACCGACGCTTTATAAAATAATTTATTTATTGGTAGTACATTCATGTCATTATATAAATATTTTGTGAGGTATCTTGAGTCTTTTTTAGGATTATTTTTAGTATTTGGTTTTGGATTTTTTTTAATGGATCTATAGTAATGTTGTATCATACGTACCTCCCCATATAGAAATACCATAATTAATTATGGATTCTATTAATGCTTGATACACTACCTACTCTAATTGTCTTAAGTTCTAGAGTATCTGTTAAATTTTTAAATGCATACATAAGTTTTCTTAATTTATTTGTTAAACATTTTATGTGGTCATTCCATTTAAGATTATGACACATTTCCATACCTAAGTTTGGCATGTACATATATTTTGATTTAAACAGTCATTCTCATGTATATGTCGCATCCACTTAGTGAAATCGCTCATTTCATGAAGTGGATGTCCACTTCATGAAATGTATCCATTTAGTGAAAATAACGTTTTACTACACTATATGGACAATTTATTGACCTTTTCATGAAGTGGATGAAATTAATTTTATCCACATTCTGTAATATTACTAATATATACGAGTTAGGTTATTTACGAGTTTGGTATTGGGTAATTGTACGATTTGCACTAGGTAATTGTGGATAATATGATAATAATTAAATAATATAATATAGGTAACCTTAAATAATGAAGTATAAAAATTAAATTAAAAGTTTTCTTAAACTTTATTTTATATTTTATATTATTTATTTTTACATGGTTCAGAGTTATAGCAACGACTATTGCACAACATTTTTCTTTAAAAACAGACAGATCTTGATTTTTGACATGGGCTTTGAATTACATGAACAAGAAGAAAAGCCTTGTCCACCTGTTGTGACTTTAACAGTCTCTCGAATAGTTAGCACTTTGTCCAACAAAACCTCGTCACTCGTTAAAAACTTCTCACATTTTTTTAAGGAATCTCCTCCTTACCATCCTTTAATCATTTCATGTTTAGTCCCTAACTCAAACAGTTTATTCTTTTTTTCAACAACTAAACATAAAATATTTGGTGGATCTGTAGGCTCTTTGTCGACTTTTGGAATAGCCATTACCACACAATTGTCAACTGGATGTCAGGATCATACATTATCTGTATATTACTATGTATCTGTTCAATCATATTCAATTATTTGATATCTTATCTTGAAATTACCTGATCGACTGACGGACCAGTTTATACAGTATACAAGTTACAAATTATATCAAGCAACTTTTATATTTATTTTAGAGCCAATTAGGTACCTAGTGCAATTCGAACAATTACCCAATACCAAATGTAAAACATCAAGATGTGCCTGTTTTAAAAAAAAAATATAAAATAAAGTTTAAGAAAACTTTTAATTTAATTTTTATACTTCATTATTTTAGGTTACCTATATTATATTATTTAATTATTATCATATTATACACAATTACCTAGTGCAAATCGTTCAATACCAATACCAAAAATACTCATGTATAATAGTAATACTATTACAGAATGTGGATAAAATGAATTTCATCCACTTCATGAAAAGGTCAACAAATTGTCCATATAGTGTAGTAAAATGTCATTTTCACTAAATGGATACATTTCATGAAGTGGACATCCACTTCATGAAATGAGCGATTTCACTAAGTGGATGCGACATATACATATAGATTTGTTTTATTTGGTTGATTCAAATTAACTATATAGTGTGGTAATATGAAGGTTTTTTCTAAGATTAGGAATAAATTATTTTCACATAGCCATTTTTGTATTTTATTTAGGTATGTCGGATTGAACACTAGCAAATACTTCATCCCAGGATTGGTCTTCAGCGAAAAGTACTGTATCATATGCGTAGCAAAACTAGTTTTCTGTGTGTATTCAAGTTATTAATTTGGTTTATATGTATATTAAACAGTGTAGGCGATAGAGTTGTCCCTTGAGGTACACCACATATTATTGACGTTTCTTCGCTTAATTCATTGTTTATTCGAACTTGCTTTTTTCTATTTTTTAAGCATGAACTTAATAAATTCTGAGCCATTTCATTGATACCAAATGTGTTAACACATTTTGTAGTAATATTATATGATCTATAGTATCAAATGCTTAACATATATAATGTTATTTGCTAGACCCAAGTAAACAATTGCACATTTTTTTTTATTTTCGAAAGAATTATAAATATAGCTTGATACTGTTGCAATTGCTTGTTCGGTACTTTTACCAGGTCTAAAACCGATTTGGGTACATGATAGAAGATTATTACTTTTATGGTAATGGACTTATTCTTTTTTAATAATTTCTTCAAAAGATTTGGCAATATTTGACATTTGTGAGATTGGGCCGAAATTTTCAATGTTAGATTTGCCACAAATTTTAAATCATTCCGGAATACTAGATGTCGTTACAGCTAAATTTAAAATGTGTGATAATGGTTTAATCAGTGAATGTACATTTAATTTGAACATTTTTACTGAAATTCCATCTAACCCTGGAGAAGAATCATATTTTAAAGCCTTTATTGCTTCTATAATTTCGTCATTATTAATTACGCAAAATTCATTAAATGACATATCTGTAGTATTTGAGATTAGTTGTTCAGTGTATGTACATTCTATGTTATGTCTATTTTGTCTTGTAAGTTTTATTTTTTTATACATGTTTTGTGCTGCATTTGTTAAGTACCTACTCATTAAAATAATTCGATATTTCTTTTGATGTATCTGCAGAATGCAGTTTTTCAACAAATTTGTTATTAATAGTTTGAATAAAGGAATTTGTTTTAGAACGGTTTGTCGCGTTTTTAATACCTTTTCAGTTTAGTTTCGAGTCATTTCCGGTTTTTTCTAATCCAGATTTATAAAATTTAGTTGTAGCTTTTTTTATAGTGTTAGTTAAAGCATTTCTATATTTTAAATAGTACTGTTTAAGTTTTTCGTTTAATGGATGCTTTTTTAAATTCAGATGTAATTTCTTCTCTACGACGAATTGATATAATAATTGCAGTTGTTGCCCAAGGTTTAATTTTTTTGGTTTTTGATGATATTTTTTTCTTTATTTTTTAAAATATCAATACATTTATTAGCCGCGGAATTTAGATTAGAGACGTTCACTACTGATGACCAATCGTAGTTCTTTAAAAAAACTTGATAGTTTTGAGTAATCAACTTGTTTTATGATTTTTGGATTTGGTGGGTTGTTTCTGTTGAAGACAAGGTTGCTTATACTGGTAACTATTGAGTAATGATCAGTTAAAGAAGTATGGGCAACAAATGTTTTAACATTTGTTAATGTATTAGATTTTAAGAGTACATAATCTAAACGGGGTCCTATTTCTTTAGTTCTAGTTATACAGTTAAAGAGACTAATAAAGCAGTATTCATTTATTAAATTGAGATAGTTATTACTATCTGTACCATTATTGATTATATCTATATTTAAGTCACCTTTTATTACCGGGTAGTTACTTTTATTGGCTCTAGCTCTATGTAGAATAGTTTGTTCGAATTCATCTAAGAAGGAATTAATATTAATTTGGGGAGGTCTGTAAATACCATAAACTGTAAAGTTTGAATTTCCCTTTTTGTAATTTATTTCTAGACAAGACATAAAATTAGTGTTTAAATCAGTTACTTGTGTATTTATAATAGAATTATTTATAAAAGCAATTATTCCATCATTTTGATTTATGTAGTTTGTAGTCTTGTACAGTTAGTATAGTATAGTTTTGAATTTGAAATTGATCGTCATTTAGATTATGTAAGCCTAGCCAAGCTTCTGTTAAAATAATTATATCAAAAATAATTGTTTGATTATCCAACATTATGCATAATTCGTCAACATTTTTATTAGCACTTCTTATATTAAGGTGTATAATGTTTAATGCCTGATCCCTATTTAATATCGTTTTCATGTATTCCCATGTAACATTATAAGTAATTATTTGATTATATAGTCGTTGGAAAAATTATTACCAAGTATAATATTGTCAGCCATTATTAGTTAGAAAAATACGTATTATCCATCTTAAATTGGATTTTCTTTGTACTATAGTTTTTATTTTTATCAAAATAATGGTAATGTTATAATTTTGTACTGAATTTTGAAAATTAATGGATTTTGTTGAATAATTGTATAAGAATAGGAATTTTATGATTATTCAATATTATAAATTGGGTCTGATTTTTTTTTTCATATAGTGTAGTTTAGTAGTGTGAAATAAGTGCTGAATTAACCTATTGATTGTGTTTATGTATACTTAACCTACTTAATGTTATATTATTATGTGATATATTTAAGATTTGAGAGTAAGCTAAAAACATTATTATAGTTATTGCCCAATTAAACCCAAAATATATTATATTACAGATTATAACAATGGTTGGATATAACAATAAAGCGTTATACAAATAAAGATAATTTATAAAAAACGTAGATCATCGATACTTTTTATTTGTGTCTGTTTGGCCATGTCGTCTTTTTTGCAGAAGATTCTGCCATTCCTTGTCCAGATGTATCGGTATCCAAGTTCTTTTACTTTTGATCTAGTCTCCCAAAGCAGTTTCCTGTTGTAATCTGTTAAGCTTTCATTAATATATATTCTTGATCCTTTGAATTCAATTTTTCCCCGTTTCCTAATGAATTCCTCTCTTTTTTTTTTTTTTAAGAAAATTCTATGACTATTTGAGGTACTATTAGTACCTATATCGTAAATTACGATTTGATAACTTTCAGTAGGTAATTATTTTCCTTTTTTACACCACTAGACACGCTCTTTCGTTTTGTTCTAATATTATATTGATTTTTATTTCTAGATTTTGTATTATGCCGTTTTTTTCTTTTAAAGTTTTCTCGAGTTCTAATATCCGGTTACTAATTAGGGTTAAGAGAATATAATTAGTAGTTATCTGGTTTTTAATAAGTTCCTCTAATCCAGTGGTTATAGCTCTGGTGTCTAAATCACTGTTCAGTGTTCATATAGATATTTGCGTCACTTTTTGTTTGTGATATACTTTTGATGGGTGTACTTTCTCCTCTGTCTTGTTTAAGTATTTTTGAGCAGTCTTCACAATTGAAGCCATCATTTTTGATTTCATAAAGTCCAAGGATTCCGCATTCATGTTAGAGAATTTCATATGTAATACATGCTTACACGTATTACATTGAATATATTGACCTCATTTCGCGAAACTGTCAAATTGCATTTCGAACACGTTATCATACTTGGACAATTAATTAACAAAACACGACTTAGCACAATGAACGACCGAACTGAACTGAAAACTTTAAATGCTTATAAAAAAAAAACGGTGACTAAGGATTTTTAATATTTTTCAAATGTCAGTGTAACAGTATAGTATAGGAGCCTTGTATTAATTTTTCAAGTATTTTTACTCAACAAATAAAGTTTTATTGATATTCATAGAAAAAATAACTAATAAAATTGGAAACTGAAAATTTCCTTAAACAGTACAAAATAAATCAAAATATTTTAAAATTTTAACGTGTTTAGAAAATGCAAATATAAACAACCAGTAAAAATGTTATGTATCTAAGGTCATTTGTTTTTAACTTACACCAAAAACCAAAGTCGATTTTGAGTAAAATTTCCCGTTCTTCCTTAATTTTTCTTTTGTTTTTCTTGGCGCTTTTGAAAATTACTGAGAATTTTAAGTTTTGACCTTCTCAATGCACCAACAATATTCACTTTCCAATCGAACAAGATACTGAAGTTGAAAATCAAAGCATTATTTCGACTACTTATCGTGTACACAGACACAAAAAAAATTTAAAAATTTAAAAAAGAAAACACACATCATTGTAAAATCAATACATTCGTCGTTCCACTTAGAATCTAAAAAATATAATACGACTTGGATTAAAGTATAGGTAAATATATAAATATATTATAATATATATAATTATATTTAGATAATTATAAGCTCACTGTGAAAAATCAAAAACCAACAATAAAATAATAATACAGGGAAAATATATATTTTTAAACTTGCAATTTAGTCAAAACCTGACATAGTAGGCATGTGACAAGAGAATGTTTTCTTAAACAATTTATTTATAGTTTCGAAAAAGTTTTCACTGTCAATCATTTATTCGGGGACTTGGTAACAGTTCGTTATTTAATGGCTGAAGAAAACAAATA